CAGTTGTATATGATGTCTAGGCAATCTTTTGAGGCCTCCGTAGAAAACTAAACAATTAATGTAATTTTGTTTTCAATTCATTTTGGTATAACACGGAGGCATAAATAACAGAATATAGATATCTCTGGTATAATATCTGGTATAAATTACGTCCTGGGTTTAACTGGCCTAATATCACAGATTTCATATTTCCGAGCATTGCTTTCAATAAATCTCTCAAAAAATTCCTCTAAAATGGTACAAGTAGATTGTTTTCATTATTGTGTAACGAGTTAATATGTGAAATGAAGTTCAATCTACTTACTATTACATGTGTGTTTATCATTTCATAAAATACTAAGATATTGCATGCATGCATCTTAATTAAAACCGTTTACACCAGAGGCATGTTCAACACAGCGAGCGCTCGCGAACATTTCTGTTGGAACGATAAGGAATTTTGGCGAGCGCTCTCGAACGTTCGCTCTGTTGAACAGGCCTCAGGATATAAAGAGGAGGATCTAATTCCAGGTTTCTAAGTTAAGTAGATAATTACAATTTCCGAGGAAGGATACACTGTACTGTTTGTTTTGGTTCATTCATTCGTCATTCAGTTCTCCTCTGTGTTACATATGCCTTACATTTGTAAAAAAAAAAAAACAAACAAACAAACAAACAAAAAACCAGAAGTCTCTGATGAGACTGTAGCTCTACTGGTCTGTATAACAAAAGAAAAGTAGCACTTGGATTTGAAACATTGCAACATGCAACAATAAATAGAATTATGTATCTTAATGTAGTCTACTTTTGTGACAAGTTATATTGAAATCAAATGAAAACTAGGAGTAGTAGCGTTTTGAAAGTATTTCACGGAAATTTCTATTTTTAGTAACCATGACAACACCATTCACCCAAATTAAAAAAAAAACAGAAATACATATTATGTATCGTAGTGTATTCTAACTGTGTGCCAAATTAGATTGAAATCAGACCAAAATTGTAGGAGGAGTAACGTTTTAAAGGAATTTCAAAGAAATTTCTATTTTAAGTAACCATGGCAACACTGTTCATCGAATTCAAAAACCGATGCAATAAATTATGTATCTTAGTATAGTCTTCTTGTATGCCTAATTAAATTAGAAGCAGACTTAAACTGTAGCAGGAGTAGTGTTTTAAAGGAATTTCACAGAAATTTCTATTTTTAGTAACCATGGCAACACCGTCCATGGAAATCAAAAACCGATGCACTAAATTATGTATCTTAGTGTAGTCTACTTGTGTGCCAAGTTATATTGAAATCGGACCAAAACTGTAGGAGGAGTAGCGTTTTAAAGGAATTTCACAGAAATTTCTATTTTTAGTAACCATGGCAACACCGTCCATGGAAATCAAAAACCGATGCACTAAATTATGTATCTTAGTGTAGTCTACTTGTGTGCCAAGTTATATTGAAATCGGACTAAAACTGTAGGAGGAGTAGCGTTTTGAAAAATTGTTTACAGACAGACGGACAGACAGACAGACAGACAGACGGACGGACGACGGACACCTTACTATCGCATAAGCTCTTCTGGTCTCTGACCAGTAGAGCTAAAAAACACTGTTTTATATATCATTACAAAAAAGGGGGGGGGCAACAACAAAAAATGTTTAACATCTCGCTCTCAGAGAGAGAGAGAGAGAGAGAGAGTTTAAATTTCAGTTGTGATTAATTTTCTTCCTAGCCATAGGTATTTAGGAATTTGAAATGAATAACAAATTTATTTATCCATGCAGACTAAAACAGCTTAAAAAGTATCGATAAAGCAGAGTTATATCCATAAAGCATTGACAAACCTTTTGCAACAAACCAAAGAATTCGTATTTATCTTCTTGATCTTGGAAATATTTTCCATATCAATTGTTGCAATATTACATATCAGATATTACACGGATAGTAATTAATTCGACGCCCAAGTGAAATCTCAGTGGTTTGATCACAGCGATGCCGTGGGCATGTTGGTAAATTTTCATTCTAAAAACTTTTTGATATCTAATGACTATTCATTAATGAGTTTTTTTTCTTCTGGTCTATAAAAAATCTGGTCTCTCAGATACAACAATAATGTTGAGCGCTAAAAGAATTTCATGTATAGAAATTGCTACTTTGTGAGAAAACGATATATTAGAGTGGGAAATTCGAATACTTGAAAAGCAGATCCAGCAATCCCCTGCCACCCTAAATGCATTTTCTTTAATATTAGTTTTTATACAAGTATGTACAGTGTAAATGCGATACTGTACTGTTTAGCGATACATGTTTTGCATTCTACATACGCAAACTTCTAAATTATTCAGATGACATCTTGTAAATATTTATGAAGATTATGGCAAATTTTCAGAACAAACCTTTTCTCGTAATGATTTTCGTGTAGTAGATCCGCATACTACATATACATACCTTAAAGAGTTGAGAGGTTTTCAATTTTTACGAAAACAAAATATTGGAGCTTGAAACCTTTCTTTTTATTGGCTTGCGTTACTCCATTATGACGTCATCGTGACTTTAGAATCGTGTTTTTGTTGTTGGTAACGGCTCATTTCTAGCGGACAACTAGAAGCGATCGGACGTGTTTCACGATAACTCGAAAACTTCTGCATTAGCTACTAACTGAACTGACTATCAAGTCAAGGAAATGCCTGAAAGTGAAAATAAGATGGTAAATCACACTTTATAGACTTTTTAGGAATTCCGATTAATTCAGTTCTTTCTAAAACAAGAAGTTTGTTCTGATTTAGAACGACTGAAAAGTCAAATGAAATGGTTTAAAGTTGGTGGGTCTGATTAATTTTTTAAATATCTCTAGGTATATTCGGATGAAGGTTATGTAGTAATGGCCTTTCCATACACAAATGAGAAAATATATAAATAAATAAATTAGGGGGAAAAAAACGGTGCAGCAAGAGTATAGCCTATTTCTTTTTCCTGTCAAAGTCGGAAAAATCCGCCAAAGTATCCACTTTCAATATTCTTATTAAGTCATAATATACACACAAAATAAACATTGATCAACAGTCATTTTTAAAGTGTCGGTAAGTATTCGGACTTCTTTTTCAATAATTTCTCTTTTCCAAATGAACAAACATTCAGTATAGCAACCTATTTTTAGATCTTGATTTTTTATTGGTTGATTGGTTGATGACGTCGCTGTTGCTTAGCTCAATATAGTTACGTTATAATTACACTTCATTCCTTGTTAGAAAGGCGAAGTAAGCAGATGTGCTTATCTTGCTCCTAACAAATTTTGGAAACAAGTGTTTTCTGAACAACCTAAACAGAAAAAGCGATGCATGAAATCATGGATAAGACGGTAAAGCATCGATTAACAATTTTAAATTTTAGGCAATGTTTGTATGTAGGCGTTCAGAAAGATAAACTGTTCCGTCAATCAAAACCTAAGATGTCTGTAGACATATTATTACGTTTAGCTGTAAACATTATATCAAGAATAAAGAGAATGTAAATTTATTTGAAAACTGGAATACGAGATTCCTATGACTCAAAATAAAATAAAATGAAGGGTGGGTTGGGGGTGTAATGCATATATACTGATTATACTAAAACTACTGAACACACTGTCAAAAATAATTTTGCTTTTAAAGACTTACTTTTTACATGTGCACTAAAAGTCGATGAACATGTTATTTATCAAATTATACACTTATATTGCTTATACGACTTCAACAATCCCTGTCTCCGTATTCATGTCCCAAAAGCTGCAGATCTGTAGCTCACTGATCTACATATGTAAGAAACTGGGATGGACGTCCATCTCATTTGTGTGTGTGTGTTTTGGTAGTATACATGTATTTGGGGAAAACATTTATGATTTAGCTTTGAAATGTAAATCACGTCCTCATGGAGTCAACTAAAAAGTGTATAGTGAGTATCCCATCTGCCATCTTCAAATCGTCAGGGTTCCAGAGTCCACACGTCCAAGAGCCTTGATTTGGACTCGGGACCTCAGAAGTTGCGAGGATGTCCGTCCATCCATTTTTGGATCTTATTGTCATTATCTAAAATTTTTAAATACTAGAAATAATAGATTTAGATTTTGATATGCCGTTTTATATGAATGTTTATAAAGTTGCTGATTCTTAAAGTTCATAATTTCAGGATGCAAGCATTTTCACAGATCTTGAGCGCCAGATTTCTTCCTTTCTCAGGACTGAGAAGGAATACGTAAGTAATTCAGTAGGGTATGTGGGAGGTATGGTCAAAATTGACATCTATATTCTAGTCTGAAAACATCCCCCTTCGTCTATTAAATGTTTGTTCAAATTCTTAAAGTTTATTATCAGTTATTATGAAAATTTCTTTACAGTCAATCGTACTAGAATCTTTAGAATCGTTGACTACACAACCCACCGACCCTAAAGCCACCCCCGGGAAGGACTGTCCTCGGCACCCAAAGAAGCAATTCTGTGCTAGGTGGAACGCTGTAGAGGTAATGTGACATTTACTTATTTGTTTTATTAACTTCCCTTATTTAAAGCCTCATTCACATACCCTCATTTATTATTATGGGTGTAAATTTTACATGCTCTTGGTGTGTGTACACGTAATTATTGCGATGCGTTCACATGCATTCTCAAACTGTATGTAAATTAGTATTAAGTTGTCAATTTCAAAATATTTTGTAAATACTTGTTTGGGCTTTCTAGTTGCTCCTCGACTCAATATTTCTCCCATGTACAAAGAAGAACATTGCCATTTCTTGATTAAATGCTACTTAAAATAATAACTGTTCTTAATAATACAATAGAAGGTCAATGTTTACTCTACTGTTACATTAAAAGTTTAAATCTTAAGTTTAAACTTATCTGTTACTATCTAGATAGTTTCTATAACTAATAGGTAAGTTTAAACTTTAGATTTAAACTATTATGAAAAAGATGCATTTTTTAACGAAATCGATGATGCTAAATTTTATAGACAATTTCAATATTTCTAGCCTTGTTTTAATTTTGCTATGCGTTGCATGTCTGGAAATACACCAGAAGTAACTCGTATGTAAAAGATAATTTGCACCTGGTCTGGTTTAATATGTAAATTTTGCATTAGGAGTAAAAATACATCATGTGCAAATCTTGATTACCCCTCGTTCATAGCACTAAAATACACCCAGGTGAAAATTTGCATATACGTATAAAAATTTGCTCACCGCGTGTAAATAGGCATATGACTTGTTTTTCCGAGCTTACCGGAAAGGCACAAGAAGATGCGATTTTGTTAGATATAGATAAGTTTAAATTAAGATTTAAACTTTAAATAAATGTAATATACTTCTCTCATATGCTAGCACTATTCAAAGCTTAGAAAAAGTGACTAAATGTATTTAAACATAGATATTTTTTAATATTAGGACGTGAACACCAAGGCCGGGTCCAGAAAGGCGAAGTCGTCTGTTCTGGGGGTGAGTATGATAGAGATGGGAAATGTTGCCTCATTGACTCCCCTTTGTAAAGATGACTAGATTTGTGAAATTATTTTTCCTTGTCTTAGGAAAGGCACAGAAGAGCTGGACCATACAAGACTTACAGTGTCAGGAATCCATCTGCTTCTACCGACTTGGTGAGCATCAGTTAATTGTAGGTTAATTATACCTTAGTTGAAGTACTAGTTATATTAGTACCCATATAGTTTGCAAGTATTAGGTATATGTAAATATGCCCGTGTTCTTGCGGAACTGAACGTCCATTTCAAGCCCGTAGCAACTGTTCAAAAAGCACAAGCAAAAAAAAAAAAAACCTAATTACCCCTTCAAATCCTGGAATTCAACCCTTCAGCACCCTCCCCCCTCCAGCGTTCTACGGCCCTGCATTCTTTCCTGGCTGAACTATTTTTGTTCATCCTTGAGAAACTGAAAATATACATTTTAATTAAAAGCACCTAAAAAAGGATTAAATTGAACTTTCCTGATCGATATGTGTTATACAGTATGAGTTTCTTATATTTGAAGCAAGTCCTTAAAAGTTGAAGTTTTAGTTCCTAGTGTTAGATTTTTTATAAGCGAGATTTCCCTATCTCTGAGTCACTTATAAGCTGGTTTTACTGTAGATTTTCTGTAACAGTACCTCTCCTCTAACTTTTCACAGATTCCACAAAATAAATCTTCTCCAAAACTATTTGATTGAACGCAAATTTGAAAGTAGATTTAAGCCATTCAAGTTTATCAAAATCACAACTCCAGAAGTTGGGGGTTGCGGGGGGGGGGGGGGGGGTAAGGTGGTCAAACTTTTAGATAAAAAAAAATGCATAGTAAAAATAAACGTTTAAACTCTTCTCAAACATAAGAAAGCCACAATTACTTTAATAGCACTTTAGGCTAAATATTAAAAGAATGAATACCAGAACGAGGGTTGGGTCGCAATGGGGGAAGTGGGGGGGGGGGGTCAAGAATAAAACCACTTGGCTACCATGGGAAACACGAACACGCCTCCTTGAGTAGATATGTTCACATCATGGAAATGTGATGATCGAATTAGGTTTTTGATTTTTTATCACGTAATTACATTTAAACATCTTTTTTCTAGAAATATTAATGTTGAAATTGTTTATATGTTATTATCTTTATCTTTCGAATATTCGTTGCCATCCCTACTTTAGGGACATATGGGTCGCACATTAATGGTTTTTATATGTTATTATGGGCCCCACATTAATGGTTAAATCCATAGTTTTCATTTGGGCCAATGACTTATTTCTCATTTCAGACTAGTAATCAAGATTTCTCCAACCGTGAGGGGGTTGCTCCCAATCATGATGCCTCAGTCAAATACCAGAGACACGAGGACACGGATTCTGACCGAGAACCTAAGCCTGTCTGTGTGTCTGTATGTATTGTGCTCGTATTTATTTATTTATTTTTTTTACAATTAATTGAAGATTTGTTTGAAAGAAGGAACTCTAGGGATTTTTTTTTTGCAGAGCGAACTTGAGGGTTACACCCTAAAGTCTTATAATGTTTCTTGTGTTCTTCTTGGGTTTCTTATAGTCAACCTTTCTCGGTTCTTTTCAGTCCTTGACTCCGGCAGAAAGTACCCCTAAAGAAACCTCCGGGAAGGCCTTCCCTCGCCCTCGACACCTGAAGAAGGAGTTATGCCAAAGGTGGAAAGCTGTCGAGGTAGGATTTATATTTAGATTTGTTGTTTGATTAAGGTTCTTTAGAATATTTCACTCATACTGGCCCTCCAACTATTGCAGATGTAGATCAGTGCTATTGACACTTACAGGACATTGGTATATATTTTTAAAAACATAAATATTTTTTTTTATGTTAGGACGTGAACACCAAGAACGGATCAAGGAAAGCAAAGTCGTCTGTTCTGGGGGTGAGTACTAGCACGATAAAGAGAGAGGAAATGTTGCATCAGTGACCCCCTTTTGTGAGGATGTCTACATTTGTGAAATAATTATATTTCCTTAGGATGGTCACAAAAGAAGAGGACCGTATCAAGCCAGCAGTGTCAGAAAGAACCCTTTGGTCACTACTGACTTGGTGAGCATCAGTTAATTGCAGCTTAGTTATGATTAATTTTCAATCCAGTTTGTACTGTGCTTGTATCTTATAATTATTGCTCTAGATCTGAATAAATGATCGAATCAGAAACTCCAAGGAAAAGTGCAGCGGGATAGCAAAAATTTTCTTCATTTCAATTAAAACCAAATTTAAACTACTTCTTTAAAAAGCTCCCATTTGTTAAAATGAATTGTTCTATAATATTTAAACGAATCATGAAATATTTACATGTATTTGATTAGATTATAGTTATCACTGTCCATGTCTAAAACTTTAAAGAAAACATTAAAAATAGCTTCTTCTTCTTCTTCTTTTTTTTTTTTTACAATATCATGGATGTTTCAATAATTGTCTGTAATTAATTTTTAATAAGATGTTTAATACAACTGAGATGATGATTTAAGATTTCTCACACATGAATGTTGACGTTATGGTAAAAAGAAGAAGACTTTTATAATTAATATTTTTTTTAAAGCACTCGACACAGAGAAAAGAAGAAACAAGTGGTTCACTCAACAGCCCCCCAAAACAGAAAGGATCAGAGACGGACGAAAAGACAAAGCCTGTCTGTGTGTCTGTGAGTAATCTCTTCTTTATGTCTTTTGACCGAAGTATGAAGTACTGCCCACTCGGCCTTAAACAATAAACAATCAATTTACCGTATGACTTTAAATTTTTGACTTTTATTTTTAAATAAAATCACACTAGAAAAAGAAATCGAAGGACCTTTTCTATAAAGTATGTAATCACAAATTGCTTGTTTATGTGTCTATATTGATTTCATTTATTTAATTTGCAGGACTATGATGAGATGAAGGGTACCAAAAGAAGCAGGCCGATTTCTCCATTTAGGCCAAACAAGAAGTGGAAGCCGTCAAAGGATGTAAGTGTGGATCATATATTCATCATCTGCTTAAGATTTTTCCTTCTCTCTCTCTCTCTCTTGGCTTTTGGTTTAGTCTTTGTGAGGTGTGTTGTTTCGTTCAATTTTTGTTTCTATAAGAAAAGTTCAATTTTCATTTCAGTATTGCCGATATGAGAGGAAAGTGAAAAGATTGATCAGATGTTTTAGGAAATTCAGCATTGATGGGTAACCAGTGCAACGTGTCATCTTGTGCATTTTTATGCTGTGACTGTGATTTTTGTTGTTTTTTTTTTCATTTTCCTCGGATATTTTCATTTTCTTCCATGTTTGTGGAAGGTGTATATTTCTGGATTAACCGGAAGAATTTCTGCATGTTATTTACTGACCATCTGTTTATATTTTATTTACTGAGATATTATTTTTTGTAAGATTTTTTTTGTTGTTTTTGTTAGTTATATATTCGCCTTTATCCATTGGCCTTTACACAAAGACTTTTCAAGCGAAATGATTGGTGCATTTATTTTATGTTGTTTTGTTGAATTAATGAAAATTGTTGCATCCTTTTATTTGAATGGAATTTATTGAAAGTTTTGGTTTATTTTTTTCTCTTGTTGTTTTTATTTTATCTGCTAGTTTATGTAATTTTTTTCGAGGTGATAAAGGCATTTATATTTTTTCCAAATGTGTATTTATATATTTTTTATTTTGGTGAATTTTTTTTTTAAAACCTTTTTGGGCAAGTATATTTTTAGATTAGTTATAAGTAGATTTTATTTTTTAATAAAGTGCTTGAAAACTGTAAAGTCTGCGTCTCGTTGTATGTTATTTTTAATATCAATAGGTTGTATACTTTAGTGGTACATGTACAGATGAATTTGTTAAAGATATTAGTGTATGACCATCATATACTTATTCTAGGACCGTAGGAACCGTAAAAGGGGATAGGCGCACCCCTTCTATATTTCTGCCAGTTTATACTTTACAATAGACAACGAAGATTCATGTAATACGGTTGCGCTGCTCAAAAATAACGTCTGATGGCCTTTTTTCTTCTTTTAGCTCGTCAAGAATTTCTGTATATTTACCCCCCCCCCCCCCCCCCCCCATGAAATTGCTTCGTAAGGATCTCTAACAAAAATTGTTATGAAACTGTATATCCATAGCAAATACTATCACCAGTCTTGCGTCACTAGCAAACAGTGCACACACCTATGCTTGCAAGACCAAATAGCCTAGGTCTACATACATGTACGTGTGATCAGAAATCTGTGCAGGTGTTGTATATTCATAATATTTATGTTGAAAAATACTTTAATGTAATGCAGAGGTGAACAGTTTGGGTTTGGTCATGAAAAGGATACACAAAATACAACACAAATATTGCAGTATCATAAATGCTAGAGAAAATGCAAAATTAGATATTATATATCATTGAGAAAAATGAAAAATGCAAATGCAGCTGGAAGAATAGGTTGTGTGGTGTAATGGCGTCTACAAGATAAGATTTCTGCCTGTGTAATGTGAAGATAAAGATCAGAGAACATACTCAAATATCCAGTGAAAATTTTCTATACAAATTATGAGCAGCGCCAACAGAGGTGGGATCAGGTGCCATGGAGGAGTAAGCATCTCCTGTCGACCGGTCACACCCGCCGTGTGTTTCTTGTCATGATCGGGTAAACAGGCAAATCCGTTCTGTGTGAAAATAATGGCCTTACAATTTGTATGAAAAAATCATGATCCCAGAGGTTAGGTTGGGGTCACCATGGGCAAACAAAGTTTTACACAGGAATATTTTGGAAAAATCTTTAAAAGTCTTCTTTACAAGAACAACAAAGCCATGATTAATTATATTTATTTGGAAGCATCTTCAGGTAGTGTACATTCAAGTTTGTTCAAATCATGACCCCCCCCCCCCCCCCCCCCCCGAGATAGGGAGCGGCCACAATGGGTGATCAAAGTTTTATATGGGAATAAAAAGGATAAATCTTTAAAAATTTTCTTCTCAAGAACCACAAAACCATGATTAGTCATATTTATATGGAAACATCCTCAGGTAGTGTTGATTCAGATTTCTTCAAATCATGACCCCTGGGGATAGGGTGGGGCCACGATGAGCAATAAAACTTTTATATAGGAGTTTATAAGGAAATTCTTCTTCTCAAGAACAGTAAAGCCATATTAGTTATATGAAAGCATCCTCAGGTATGGCGTTGATCAAATTTATTCAAATCATGACCCCACGGGGTAGGTGAGGCCACAATGGGCAAAGTTTGACATTGGGATATATAGGAAAATCTTTAAAAAACCTTCTTCCCAAGAACAGTAAATCCGTGATTAGTCATATTAATCCAGAAGCATCCCAAGGTAGTGTAGGTCAAGTCTGTTCAAATCATGTTCCCCGGGGGTAGGGCGGAGCCACAATTAAAAAAAATCAATCATTTAGAAAAAAAATCTTGAAAAAATCTTCTAAAGCCATGATTAGTCAAAAAAAATGTGAAAGCATACCCAGTTAGTGTAGATTCAAGTGTGAACAAATCATGCCCCGCTTTCCACTCGGGAGGGGGGGGGGGGGGACTTGCAATCACATACATTTAATCTTTTCAATACTGAACTGAATTTTACTTTTTCCTATAGCCAATCTGCTCAGGTGAGCGATGTGGTCCATGAGCCTCTTGTTTTACAGATTTTTCCTACATGTACATACCGGTATATATCCCCAGGTAAAACTTTGATACCCTACTGTGGACCCATCCTACCCTCGGGGTATATGACTTTAAAAAAATGAATAAACTTGAATATACACTACCCGAGGATACATGTTCATGTATATATATATTAAATAAATCATATCCCTGCTATTAAAAAGATGATTTTTAAACGATTTTTTCAATACATATTCACAAGTGAAACTTTGATTCTCTGTTGTGGGCCATCCTATTCCCGGAGCAATGATTTAAACACACTTGGATCTACACTACCTGAAGATGCCTAAGTATATTATTATGTTGCTATTGTTCTTGTGAAGAAGATTTTTAAAGTTTTTCCCCTTTACATTATCGTATAAAACTCTGATCAACAATTGTCGCCACATCCTACCCCCATGGGCCTTGATTTGAAGAAACTTGAATTTAATTACTCTATCTTAGAATGCTTGCATATTAATATGAATGATCACGTACCTGCTGTTCTTTTAAAGAAGCTTTTTAAAAAAGATTTTTCCCCAATATAAAGATTTTTTAAAGGATTAAGATAGGTAATTAATGTCAAGTTTTATCTAAGTTTTTAGAATGTAGAAACGATACGTTAGTGCGAGGTGGAGCCAGCCGAGGAGTGGGGTGAGGGGTAGATTGATCCCAAATCTTCATGAAAAAAATGATATATGGAAAAGTTTATAAACGCTTCTTAGTAGATCTCCATTTCCTCGTATTTGTGTTATATTCTCTCAAATATGACCTTGTTTCACGTCTTGTTGAAGTGTCGTAAATCTACACTTGACCTTCGCAACACATGTAGATAGCTACCTAGACATTTGAAAGCATTCTAATCAAGAATCTAATAATGGCCTCTAAGGACGACCTCTCCACTGGTAAGACATGAAAATTAGTTTAATTTTCCTTATTATAAATATATAACCAATCGTAAAGCAAAAGTGTGGAATTGCTGAAGTTGATGTCTTTCATAGTTCACTTTGAATGAAGATTCAGGTCAGGGCAAAGGCATATACTCAGGAATACTAAGATTATCAATTACATAATTTGATCACCATATATATATAAAGGATAGTGAACTTGTATATAAATCAGCATGTTTATTTTTTTTTAAATGAAACAATTCTATTTTGTGCGCAAATTCAAAATGCGTGCAGGTGTGCAGTCCTGAGAACACGGGGAATTAGGAATCTAGATTACTTTAAAAGGACTATTACGTACCTTAAAAAGCATCAATTTCCTCAGTTTTTGATCTCAAGGAAACCAACTGGACAGAGGTTATAAGTTGAACAGAGCAATACAACATGCCGCCGGTCATTGAGAATTTAGTTAATCAGAAAATTATCGTTATAAGATGCATCAAAATCTACATTTTGACTTCACTTAAAAGATGACTTGATAAGTAGTATTCCTATGTATGAATGGAATTCAAAAGATTTTAATGTAAATTCTAAAGGAAACATTTTTGTGAATTTATTCTGATGCGTAATCTTGTTCCATTGTTCACCCGACAGGTGAACAAGCAAAGAAAGCTTCCAACAAACGTCACATTTTTTATCAAACAATCACCATTTATAAAAAATCATAAAAACTAATAGTTTTTATTCTACATGTACTTACACTGACTTAAGATCAAATTACTTAATGTGAAAAAAATATTCATACGTAGAGCTACTTTAAAGATGACAACATGATACCCAAATGTTACTGGAATTTGAAAAATGCTGTTCACGGAAAGCATCACTCAAGCATTTCACAGTACTAAAAGTATATCTGCTAACATTTATCCTTTATAACCATTTTCCGGAATTTAATGGCCAGGAAGCTTACCGGTCGACTCTTGAATTTGAAAGGAAATCTGATTGATATATGCGTAGTTACATATTTATAGAAAATTAATACTCATATGTTCCTAATTTGAATATCTGTTTAGAGGAGAAAGATGAAATTCCTCCCATTTTGCCAGAATCGGAAGAAAGAGTATGGTCGTCAGAGATAAAGATAATGGCAAAGAAAGGTGTTTTCTGTCTACTGTTGGTGGCCTATGCTGTTTACTTCGCCTTTGCCATGGTGATGAACTTTGAGAAAGCCATTCCTCTCCTATGTATTACTGTGCTTGTATGTTTCTATGTGAGCTGTATATTTGTGAAAAGAAAATTCGGAGATCGAGTGGCTGAAATCTTACGATGCAGGAAACTGAACGATATTTCCATGTTTAAGTCGAGAAAATTCAGTATGTATGTATATTTAAGTACACAGAATTATCATTACATGTATTACATTTACATGAGCGATGGAATGCTCTATATTCTACATGTATTTTCAAAATCGATATACATTACAGTTGGTTGAATTCATTATTAAATTTACGGTATTCTTTAAACGAATTTTCTACTTTAGGTGTTGCAAACCTTTATATATTGACGTTTTTCCCGCAGAATCATGTATGGTGGGACATCGTTGATACTAACTGTATCCATGATCTTCATCAATCTGTCCAGTCCCACAAACCTCATTTCCCTTGGTGGAATATTTACCTTATTGCTGTTTAGTTGGTTAATCTCTTATCACAAAACCAAGGTACAGATTTCATTTCTTATTTGTGAAATCAGGGGTTATTGGCCTTTGTCCGAAAATGAAAATGAAACGTTTTAAAATTCTTTTGGTTGAAATGAAATATGGCTAGAAATGTATGAATACGAAAAGTTTTATGAGTAAAGCAGGAGACCCCCCTTTTCTCATTACAATACAACCAATCGAAACTAACTTGGAAAATTGACCAGAT